CCTGGGTTTGATTCCGGTCAAGGGCTTAAATGAAAAGCATTCTGTCACAAGTCTAAGCAGATAGTACACTTCATAGTAAATTTGGGACAAGATACTTTCACCATATTTCTAGTTGCCTAGCCTTTGAGTTAAGCTTTAAATAGTGGCAGTTTCTTTCTTCTGGATCAAATTTTAATATATGCAACATAAAAGTGTTCTATTGCAATTAATTTTGCAATTCTTTCATTCCAACTTAAAAGATTGGTTAATATACAATATACCTGATTAATACTCTTCAAAAAAATTGAGGACATAAAAAAGAAAAATACGAAGAAATGCCGGGACCAGTTTGGCTCAGTGGATAGAGCGTTGGCCTGCAGACTGAGGGGTCCCGGGTTTGATTCCGGGCAAGGGCATGCACATTGGTTGTGGGCACATCCCCAGTGAAGGGTGTGCAGGAGGCAGCTGATCGATGATTCTCTCTCATCGATGTTTCTAACTCTCTATCTGTCTCTCTTCCTCTCTGTGAAAAATCAATAAAATATATTTAAAAAAAAGAAAAAAAGTAAAATACCAAGAAATGGTCACAGAACAGAGAAAATGTAGGATATGATCTAATTTTATTTTAATTTATTACATTTCCATATTATAAAATGTTTATATATGTAAATATATATATACATGTAAAAAAAAATATATATATATATATATATATCTCCCCACACACACATATATACTATTATATATATTTCATGACAGGCTAAACTTTTTTTTAAATGGAGTATTCATGAAACAATTTAATTATGTTTGGCTTACATAATGACACTTTAAAAATATATATATATTTTTTATTGCCTGGTTCGTGTGGCTCATTGGTTGAGCGTCAACATTTGAGCCAGAAGGTCACAGTTCAATTCCCAGTCAGGGCACATGCCCAGATTGTGGGCTCAATCCCTGGTGGGGGGTGTGCAGGTGGTGGCCAGTCAATGATTCTCTCTCATCATTGATGTTTCTATCTCTTTTCCCTCTCCCTTCCTCTCTGAAATCAATAAAAGTATGTATTTTTTAAAAATATATTTTATTGATTTTTGTACAGAGTGGAAGAGAGAGAGAGAGAGAGTTGGAAACATCAATGAGAGAGAGTTATCGATCAGCTGCCTCTTGCACACCCCCCACCGGGGATATGCCCGCAACCAAGGTACATGCCCTTCAGTCCCCAAGCCGACGCTCTATCCATTGAGCCAAACCGGTCCTGGCAAAATATGTATTTTCAATGGTAAAAATTCATGTGTATTTTACCACCTTAAACAATGTGTTCTCATTTTTTGAAAATTCTAGAAAAATTTTGTCTCATATGAGGTTTGTCTCTCACAGGGTACATGACATCACAGGGTGGAAGTAGGGTAGCTGGTCCATGGAATTATCACGGGGGGCCAGGTGATAGGAGCACCAAAGTATTTGCAAGGAAGGAGGTGATACATCTGCCTGTGGTTGGGATATATTATATTTGGGGTCATCAGGTGATTCAGAGTCTGTAGAGATCAACGACCGTGTCCCCACCACCATGGTCTTTGCTGACCACCTGTTTTTAATGGGTGGGGTGCCATTTAGGATGATTGCACTGTCGGGCCCTGGATCAGGATTCAATATGGGGCTCAATGCTGATGGGCTATGGGTGGTCATCACATGAGGGCATCTGGTCCAGGTTTGGGAATAATCAGGAATAAATGTCTGTGGTCTTAAGAGTCTCGTGAGGCTGAAGCTTTGGATGCCAGGACCCTGGGCTGGTGGTTGGGTTGAGGTTCCAATGTTGGCTCAGTGGTTGAACATCAAAGTATGAACCAGAAGGTCATAGTTTGATTCCCAGTCAGAGTTGGGGGCTTGGTCCCCAGTGCAGGGCATGCAGGAAGCAGCCAATTAATGGTTCTCTGTCATCAATGTTTCTATCTCCCTCTCCCTTCCTCTCTGAAATAAGTAAATATATATTCCTTATTATACATAAATGAGTGAGATCATGTGGTTTTTCTTTCATTGACTTGCTTATTTCACTCAGCATAATGGTCTCCAATTCCATCCAGGTTTCTGCAAATGATAAGAATTCCTTCTTTTTTCTCTCCCAGTGATACCAACAACAAGCAAGGCTTAACAACAAGACTGCCCACCCATCCCACAAAGGGCTACACCAAGACTGTCCACCTCAGGTAACTGGGAGGCTGACTCACTGAACCATATAGGACACCTTAGCACACAAAGCCACCCTACCAACTCAGGAAAGCTGTGAAAATGCCAAGACAAGGAATTAGATCACAAACAAAAGAAATGGAGGAAAAGAAGAGACTGGATATAGAGTTCAAAACCACCCTTATAAGGTTTTTTAAGAATTTCCTAGAAAAGGTCGATAAGACCTATGAGGAGATGAAAAGGGATCAACAAGAACTAATAAGGGATCAACAAGAAATAAAGAATACATTGTCTGAAATAAAAAATATTATACAGAGTCCTAAGAATTCCTTCTTTTTTATGGCAGCATAGTATTTCATTGTGTAGATGTACCACTGTTTTCTGATCCAATCATCTGCTGATGGGCATCTAGGCTGTTTCCAAATCCTAGCTATTGTAAATTGTGCTGCTGTGAACATAGGGGTGCATATATCCTTTTTGATTGGTGTTTCTAGTTTCTTAGGATATATTCCTAGGAGTGGGATTACTGGGTCAAATGGGAGTTCCATTTTCAGTTTTTTGAGGAAACTCCACACTGTTCTCCACAGTGGCTGCCCCAGTCTGCATTCCCACCAGCAGTGCACGAGGGTTCCTTTTTCTCCGCATCCTCGCCAGCACTTATCGTTTGTTGATTTGTTGATGATAGTCATTCTGACAGGTATGAAATGGTACTGCATTGTCATTTTGATTTGCATCTCTCCGATCCATAACTACTTTTTTATTTCTTGATTTTTTTTTTAACTTTCTGAGCTACACATGGCTGAACTTTCATTATGAATATGGACTTCATTTACTCTAAATATTATTTATAAATATGTTCATAATCTCATCACATTGAAATTTGTCCTTTACATGTTAGATATGTCTGTAAAGGACAAATTTTCTCTCACTAAGATAATTACGATAGCATTTCTCATGAAGATTACCACCAATAACAAAATTGTTTTTCCACTTTTAAAAATTTTATTTATTTTAGTTGATGTTCAAATTAAAACTAAACAATACGGTTCCATTTAAAGTTTATGTTATATCCTGGCAGGTGTTTTCTCAGTGAATTGAGAGTCCTCCCATGAACCAACAGATCCTGGAGTTCCATTCCTGGTCAGGGCCCATCCCCAGAGTGTGGGCTCAATCCCCAATAGGGGTCATGCAGGGGCAGCCACAGGATGTGTCTCTCGCATGGTGTCTTTCTCCTTATCTATCTAAAAAAAAATAAAGTAAAAAAATTATGCATCTTAGTTCTTTTTATTTCAAAAGTATGTCCTACATGTCTGTGTTCTATTTTTCACATTCACATATGATGGTGTAAGTAGGTCATGTATGGGATTAAGATGTTCTAGACTCCCATGCATTCCTACCTCTTTATGATGAGTTGGGCACAAAGATAATGTGTTTTCATTGGCATGCACTCAAGTTCCCTCACCAGGAAAAGATGACAACATCCTTTAGCCATTTCCAAGATGTCTCTTTCATGCGATGGGACATCTCTTAGCCCCTTCAGAGGCGGATCTTGGTGTTTTCTTTTGGATCCGGGCAGGAAAACCCTGGACCCCGGTATGGGACTGACACACATCACCCAACGACCAAATGTGAAATCCCCCGCGGGAACCAATGAGGAGTCAGAGAGCGCGTTTCCGGCGAACCTCCTAGAGGCGGGACTTCCGGTTGCCTCAGGTCAGGCATTTTATTTTGACTCGGATTACGTGCCGCTGCCTTGTCCGAGGTTCCAGATCGATAGCCTTCTCCCAGTGGAGCTGCCCCCGAGGGAAAAGCCGCGAGGGCTGTGGTCCACCCAGCACACGCGCGAGTGTGGAGATGGACCCGGGAACGTGGGGGCCCCTCTCCCCGGCCCCGCCCGGCCCCGCCATCCCCGCGGCGGCCGCCGCCCCCGCCCCGCGCGGCCCACGGAGCGCGATGGCGGCGCCCGCGCTGAGGGGCTTCGCTGAGGTGAGTTCCTGTCCCCCAGGCCCCCCGCCTCCTCACCCCGCACCCCACAGCCCGGTGCGGGCCTGTCCCTCCTGCAGCTCCGTCCGCGGGGAGGACCGTGAGGAAGGCGGAGGGGAGGGAGGAGCGCGGTGGCTTCTGAGGACACAGCCAGTGCGGGGCGGAGAGGACAGGGGTGACCGGCCTCTGAGGTTCCCCTGAGGGTGTGGCTGTGAGGATCGGCGGGCAGATCAGAGGCTGCAGGGAGGCCGTCACAGCCTCATGGGGGCTTTCCCGGCTGTGGGGTCCCTCAGGGGCCTGGGGTGGTCCTGGACCCGGCTGGAAGACAAGCTTCTCCACATGCCATGTGCCAAGTTCATGGGGGAGTCCAGCGAGACCCAGTGGCATTGGAGCAGGAAGGGGGCAGAGCTGAGGGAGTGAACCTGGGACTGAAGATGGGAAGGGGATAAACATTACCCAGTGTGTGCACATCTGGAGGGAGTGTGAGCTGATGGTCCCCGGGACCTGGTGTGGGGACAAAAGGGTGAAGCATAAGCTCATGTTTGTCTTTGTCTTGGAGGAATGGTCTGGGAGACTGCAGTGGAATTGTGGGCTGGAGGGCGGGAATCCTGCAGGCCTGGCCCAGAGCTTAGATGGTGTTTGTCTGCTGTCCCCCTTCCCAACCCATCTGCCCTTGCTGGGGACAATCACAGCGATTAATGGGATGTGATGAGAGAGCAGCCTGCACTGGCATTAGGGCCTGGTGTCCTCACTAACCCGGTGCCCTGGGGGAGGTTGATGGGGGGAAGGTATGTCAGGAGTACAATTATTGGTTCTCAGAAAGGCAGCTTTGGTTTCAGTTGTCTCCATTCTGACAGGTTGGCGTGACCTTTGAGGACATTGCCCTGTACTTCTCCAGGGATGAATGGAGCCTCCTTGATGAGGGTCAGAGGCAGCTGTACCTGAATGTGATGCTGGAGAACTTTGAACTTGTGTCCTCGCTGGGTAAGACCCTCACTGTCACCAGGGACCTGGACTTGGCTTTGCATTTCCCCAGCCCCTTTTCCCAGGTGCTCTCTGTCCTCACCTGAGAATGGTGGTTACTGCACGTTTTCCAGTTTCCTGGGCAGTTGCTGTCCTTTGCTTGCACTGCCGGCTGCTCTCTGTGCTGTCCCAATACCTGCTGCACTGAACTCACAGGGAAGGACCTGTGGTTGGTAGAGTAGCAGGGAGCCTAACGGATTCCACCTTGATTAGTGAGGAAAAAAAGTATTTTTTATATTCCTGTTGGTCATTTATACATATTTTTTGGAATTATTTCTCTACATCTTTAGCCTCTGTTTGTTGTTGTTTTATATTTTTACTAGAGGCCTGGCGCACAAAAATCCTGCATGGTAGGGAGGCAGGTGTCCCTCAGTCCAGCCTATACCCTCTCCAATCTGAGACATCCCTCTTACAATCCAAGACTACTGGCTCCCAACTGCTCACCTGCCTGCCTTCCTGATTGCCCTTAACCACATCTGCCAACCCGACTGATTACCCCCTAACTACTCCCCTGCCAGCATGATTAATGCCTAACTGCTCCCCTGCCAGCCTGTTTGTTCCTAACTGCTCTCCCCTGCCAGCCTGGTCACCCCTAACTGCCCTCCCCTGCCATCATGGTCACTCCTAATTGCCCTCTCCTGCCAGGCTGGTCCTCGCCAACTGCTCTCCCCTGCAAGCCTGAGATCCCCCACCTGCCCTTTCCTGCAGGCTTGGATCCCCCCAAACTGCCCTTCTCTGCAGGCCTGGTTCCCCCTATCTGCCCTCCCTTAAAGGCCTGGTCACCCCTAACTGTTCTCCCCTACAGGCCTGATCCCTCCCAACTGCCCTCCCCTGCAGGCCTGGTCCCCCCCCAACTTCCGTCCCCTGCAGGCTGATCTCCCCCAATAGCTCTCCCCTGCAGGCCTGCATCCCCCGGAATTTCCCTTCCCTGCAGGGCCAGTCTCTCCCCAACTTCCCTCCTATGCTGGCCTGGTTACACCTAACTGCCTTCCCCTGCTGGCCATCTTGTGTCCTCTTGGGGGCAGCCATCTTGTGTGTTGGATTGATAGTCAATTGGCATATTACTCTTTTATTAGTTAGGATTGATTTTACAGAGAGGAAGGAAGAGAGAGAGAGAGCTAGAAACGTCTGATGAGAGAGAAACACCAGCTGCCTCTTGCACACCCCCTACCGGGGATGTGCCCGCAACCAACGTACATGCCCTTGACCAGAATCGAACCTGGGACCCGTCAGTCCACAGACCGATGCTCTACCACTGAGCCAAACAGATTTTGGCTAGTTAGGATTGATTTTAGAGAGAGAGAGAAAGGAGAGTCAGAAATATCAGTGATGGGCCGGGACCGGTTTGGCTCAGTGGATAGAGCATTGGCCTGCAGACTGAAAGGTCCCAGGTTCGATTCCGGTCAAGGGCATGTACCTTGGTTGCAGGCACATCTCCTGTTGGGGGCGTGCAAGAGGAAGCTGATCGATGATTCTCTCCCATCGATGTTTCTAACTCTCTATCTCTCCCTTCCTCTCTGTAAAAAAAATCAATAAAATATATTAAAAAAAAGAAAGAAAGAAATATCAGTGATGGGAGGAGAATCATTCTATATGCCTCCAGCACGTCCCCTACTGGGGATCAAGTTGGCAACCCAGGCATGTGGTCCAGATTGGAATTGAACCCAGGATCCTTCAGTCCACAGGCCCACACTGTCCACTGAGTAAAACCAGCTAAGGCAGCTTATTTTATTTTTAAAATAAACTTTTTAGGCCTTTTTCATTTTCTCTTCCTTTTTTTCCCTCTGTCTCTTCCTACCGTCTTTGTTTCATAGCATTCCATTTATGGCTTTCTTTCTTTCTTTTTCTTTTTGAAAAAAAATTTTAAAAATATATATTCTATTGCTTTTTTACAGAGAGGAAGGGAGAGGGATAGAGAGTTAGAAACATTAATGAGAGAGAAACATCCATTAGCTGCCTCCCGCACACCTCCTACTGGGGATGTGCCTGAAACCAAGGTACATGCCCTTGACTGGAATCGAACCTGGTACCTTTCAGTCCCTAGGCTGATGCTCTATCCATTGAGCCAAACTGGTTTGGCCATTAATGGCTTTTTTTATGGTGTTCCTTAGTTCACTTTGGTATTTTCTTTTAAATTTATTTTTCCTCTTTCTTTCCACCTGCATGATTTCAAATGAGGACATCACATATTCTTTTGTGCCTGATGTTGCTACTCTTCATTTTATGTTTTCAATTCATTTCTTGTAATTTATCAACTACAGAATTTGTTTCATTCCTTTTTATGATTTCTGTCTACCTATGTTTTTTCTTTTATGATTTTCCTTTTGTATTTTTTGTGTGTTTTTTAAAATTCAATATATTTTTATTGACTTTAGGGAAGAAGGGAGAAGGAGAGATAGAAACATCAATGATGAGAGAGAATCATGGATTGCCCCCACCTGCACCTTCCTTATTAGGGACCAAGCCTGAAAACTGGGTATATGCCCTTGAGCAGAATCAAACCCGGCACCCTTGCACCTGTAGGCTGATGCTCTGTCCACTGAGCAAAACTGGCTAGGGCTGATGTTTTCCTTTTGTTACTGGGTTGATTTTGTCATTGTGTTGGTTCCGTTTGTGTTTTCTTATAGCTCAGTGATGTTTTTAAAAGTAAAAGTAGTTTGGAATCCTTATCAGGCTGTATGTATATAGCCATTTATTTCCTATTGATTCCTGGGAAATTATCATGTTTTCTTGGTGGTGTTTTTGTTTTCAGTATCTTTTTTTTTTTTTTTAATTATACCTTTACTAGAGGCCCGGTGAACAGATGCGTTAGCAGTGGGGTTCCTCAGCCTGGCTTGTGCCTTCTCACAAACTGGGACCCCTCCAGGGATGTCTGAATGCCAATTTCAGCCATATTCTCCACAGGATCTGACATCCCCCGAGGTATGTGGTAGTGCAGTAAGCTACAGATGACCGAGGAGGAGCCTGAGCCTCTGCTGGGTCTCTATGCCACTCCCACTCATCCCAGCCGCACTGCGCCTGCCTCCACTGCTCCATAGCACAGAGGACTGCGAGGGTCACGCCACCTCAGTGGCACTCAACAGGCATGAGCCTGGTGTCTGGTGCCGGTCAGTCTGCTGAGCAGTGCTCCCACCTTGGGAGCACACTGACCTCCAGGGTTTAGCTCTTATGTTGAGCATATACCCCCTGGTGGTCATTGCTTGTCATAGCAACTGGTCAAATAGTCGTTCATCACTTGGTCACTTAGGTTTCTATATATATATATATAGACTAGAGGCCTCATCCACAAAATTTGTGCACTCGGGTGGGGTGCCTCAACCCGGCCTGAGACATCTCACACTCTAGGGCCCCTTGCTACTTACTGCCCGTCTGCTCCCTGCTCTCTGATCACTGTAGTTAGGACTGCTCGGCTCCCTGCTCCTTACTGCTCCCCTTGCTGCTCCTTAGCAATGCTGCAGAGGTGGGAGAGAGGCAGCCGCCACCACCGCTGCTGATCTTGTCAGCTGTGAGGCCAGCTTCTTGCTGAGCGGCACACCCTCTGTGGCAGTGCACTGACCACCGGAGAGAAGCTCCTGCATTGAGCGTCTGCCCCCTGGTGGTCATTTGCCATCATAGTGATGGGTCATTCTGGTTGTTCTGCTGTAATGGTTGTTAGGTTTTTATTATATAGACTAGGCACCTGTTGCAGGAATATTCCTGCAAGACTGCAGGTGGGCTTCCCTCCCACCACCACCACCTCTCCAGCCTCCCCAACCTCTCCCGTTGAGGCGGGCCATCACCACAGCGCACTTCGGCCTGCATGCCCGACCCTCTGTGGCCAAGCCCACTGCTGCCGCCTCTGGGGCCATGCATGCCGCTGCTGCGCGCCCTGCCCCCCGACCCGCCGTGCCCGCCGCCCCCACTGCCTCCTGCCCCTGCATGCGCCACCCCTGCACACCTCACCCCGCCCCACACGTGTTGCCAGTGCTTTCCCTCCAGCAGCTGCAGCCATCTTCCTTTCTACTTTCCCTCCCTCTTCCATCTATGCTGTCTTCAGTCTTCACTCCTCCCTCCCTCTGTATATGCAAATTAACCACCATATCTGTTGAGTTAATTTGCATACTCACTCTGATTGGCTGGTGGGCATGGTTTATATAGCAGGGTAACTTAATTTGCATATTCTATTATTAGGTTAGATTGTTGGAAATATTACATATGTCAGATTTACTTCCCTATTGACCCCTAGTAGCCCTACCCCATACCCTGCCCTAGGCATACATCACCCTATTGTCTGAGTCCATGAGTTATGCATATATGAATACAAGTGCTTTGGTTTTTCTCCTCTCACCCACCTACACACCAGCAACTTCCCTCTGAGATTCCATCGTCTGTCTTATGCTTCCATGTCTCTGGATCTATTTTGTTAATCAGTTTATTTTGTTTATTAGATTCCACATATGAGTAAGATCATGTAATACTTGTCTTTCCCTGACTGGCTTATTTTGCTTAGGATAATATTCTCTAGGTCCCTCCATGCTGTCTCAAAAGGCCAGAGGTCCTTTTTTACTGCTGCATAGTGTTCCATGTGTACATGTACCATTGCTATTTATCCACTCAATGCTGATTGGCAGTTGGGCTAGTACCAGATGTTAGCTAATATAAATTGTGCTGCTATGAGTTAGGAGTGCATACATTGTTTCTGTTTGATGTTTTGGGTTTCTAACCATATTTTCCCAGAAGTGGGATCACTGGGTCAAATGGCAGTTCATATTTAATTTTTTGAGGAAACTCCATGCTGTTCCATAATGTCTTCACCAGTCTGCATTTGGACCAGCAGTATACTGGAGTTCCCTTTTCTCCACATCCTCACCAGCACTTTTTCTTTGTTAAATTTTTTCCTCCTCCTCCTCCTCCTCCTTCAAATATATTTTATTGATTTTTTACAAGGAGAAAGGGAGATGGATAGAGAGTTAGAAACATTGATGAGAGAGAAATATCGATCAGCTGCCTCCTGTACACTCCCTACTGGGGATGTGCCCACAACCAAGGTATATGCCCTTGACTGGAATCGAACCTGGGACCCTTCAGTCCCCAGGCTGATGCTCTATCCACTGAACCAAACCGATTAGGGCTGTTGAATTTTTCATGGTAGCCATTCTGACAGGTGTCGTCTTAATGTGCATCTCTCTGATGGTTAGTAACTTCAAGCATTTATTCATGTCTTAGCCATCCATATGTCCACTTGGGAGAAGTGTGTATTTAAGTTCTTTGCCCATATTTTAATTGGACTATTTTTATTTTGATGCAGTCCCATTTGTTTCTTTTCTCCTCAGTTTCCTTTGCTCTAGCAGATATAACTGTAAACATATTGCTACGAAAGATGTCCAAGATTTTGCTGACTAAGGTTTCTTCTCACATTTTTATGATTTCATGACTTACACTTACCATATTTTTCGGACCATAAGACGCACCGGACCATAAGACGCACCAGTTTTTAGAGAAGGGAAATGAAGAAAAAAAGATTCTGAAACAAATAGTGTCCTAAAATATTTTATGTGCATTAAAACCCAACATCACAGTCATAAACACATGTAATCAACCCTGTAAAGTAAACAACAGCATTTAGAACCATTTTAGAGCCGGGCAAGCACACAGAGACCACACAGAGCCAGGCAAGTAAAAAAACTTTTTTTTAAAAAGTATATGTGTAGGCTATATTTGGACCATAAGACTCAGGGACTTTTCTCCCCCACTTCTGGGGGGGAGAAAAGTGCGTCTTATGGTCTGAAAAATACAGTAACTACACTTATGCATTTTGAGGTTATTCTTGCGTATGGTGTAAGTTGGTGGTCTAGTTTCATTTTTATTTTTATTTTTTTGCATGTGTCTGTCCAATTATCCCAGCATCATCTATTGAAGAGTCTGTCTTGACTCCACTGGATGTTCTTGCCTTCTTTGTCAATGATTAATTGAGGGGAATGGCTTGGGTCAGGTTTGGGGTCTCTTGTTCTGTTCCATTGATCTATCTGCCTGTTCTTCTGCCAGTACCAGCCTGTTTTGAGTACAGTGGCTTTGCAGTAAAACTTATCACGTATTATGATCTCTCCGACCTAGTTTTTCTTTTTCTTTTTTAATATATTTTACTGATTTTTTACAGAGAGGAAGGTGTTGGGATAAAGATTTAGAAACATGGATGGGAGAGAAACATCGATCACCTGTCTCCTGCACCTCCCACTGGGAATGTGCCCACAACCAAGGTACATGCCCCTGACCAAAATGGAACCTGGGACCCCTTAGTCTGCAGACGGATGCTCTATCCACTGAGCCAAACCACTCATGGCCGACCTAGTTTTTCCTGCTGCAGGTCCTTTTGATTCCATATAAATTTTTTCTGGCTCTGTGAAATATGCCTTTGGTATTTTAGTAGGAATTGCATTGAATCTGTAGATTGCCTTGAGCATTATGGACATTTTAATGATGTTCATTTTACCAGTCCATGAACTCAGTTTATTCTTTCACTTGTTTTTATCTCCTTCTATCTCTTTTTTCAACATTCTGTAGTTTTCCAAGTCTTTTGTCTCCTTAGTTATGTTTATTCCCAAGTATCTTAAATTTTTTTTGCAGTGGTAAATGGGATTGTTGTTTAGTTTTTCTTTTGGAGAATTCATTTTTGGTGTATGAAAAAGCCGTCAACTTCTGGGTGTTGATTTTGTATCCTGTTGATTTTGCCCAGTTCATTCATTTATATTTTTTATTTTTAAAAAATATATTCATTGAATTTTTTAAGAAAGGATAGAGAGTTAGAAAAATCCATGAGACAGAAGCATCTATCAGCTGCCTGCTGCACCAAGGTACATTCCCTTGACTGGAATCGAACCTGGGATCCATTAGCCCCTAGTCCAACACTCTATCCACTGAGCCAAACCAGTCAGGGCCCAATTCATTTATTAAATCTAGTAGTTTATTAGTGAAGTCTTTCTGTTTTTCTATATATAATATCATCCCATCTGCAAATAATGAGAGTTTTACTTCTTCCTTTCTAGTATAGATGCCTTTTATTTCTTCTTTTCTGATCACTGTGGTTAGGAGTTCAATAGTATGTTGAATCAAGAGTGGTGAAGACATCCCTATCTGGTTCCAGTTCTTATCTTTGGGGAAATGGTTTTAATTTTTGCCCATTCATTATGATGATGACTATAGATTTGCATATATAGCTTTTATCATATTGTGATATGCTCCCTGTATTCCCAGTTTGCTGCAAGCTGTTATCACAAATGGGTGTTGGATTTCATAGAATGCTTTTTCTTCGTCTGTTGATATGATCATGTGTTTTTTGTTTATGTGATGTGTCACGTTTATTGATTTGTGAATATTGTACCAGTTGGCATCCCTGGAATGAATCCCACTTGATTATGGTGTATGATATTTTTAATATATATCTGTTAATATTTTGTTGAGAATTTTAACATCAGTGTTCATCTGGGATATTGGCCTATAATTCTCTTTCTTTAAAGTGTCTCTATCTGGTTTTAGAATTAGGATACTGCTTTACTCATATAGAGAGCTTGGAAGTGTTCCTTCATGGATTTTTTTTTTTAATAGTTTGAGGAGTATAGATGTTAGTTCTTAGAATGTTTGGTAAAAGCCCCTGTGAAGCTGTCCAGACCCAGGCTTTTGTTTTTAGGGAGTTTTTTTTCTTCTTCTTACTGCTTATATTTTGCTCTTTTGCATTGCTCTTTGTCTTTATTTATTTATTTTTTAATATATTTTATTGATTTTTTACAGAGAAGAAGAGAGAAGGATAGAGAGTTAGAAACATCGATGAGAGAGAAACATCTATCAGTTGCCTCTTGCACACCCCCTACTGGAGATGTGCCCGCAACCAAGGCACAATGCCATTGATCAGAATCGAACCTGGGACCTTTCAGTCCGCAGGTGGACGCTCTATCCACTGAGCCAAACCGGTTTTGGAGTCTTTGTCTTTATTGAGCTCTTATTCGCATCTCTGGTGGGTGTTTATGGGTTTGTTTGTGGATACCTAACTATTCTGGCAAGGAGATAAATTCTCCTATCTCCTATTATACTATATTGCTGGTCTCACTCACATAGTTTTTGTTTTTTTATTATTCTGTTTTGGCTTGTTTTTTTCTCTCTATGGTTTCTTCCATGGTCTCTACTACAATAGTGGCCATCCATCTTTTCAGTTTTTCTTTGAGGATTTCTGTCATCTGTATCCAATGAAATTGCTCCAGTGAGATTTAAGGGGGGGAAATCATTTGTGCATTATAGGAGAAAGATGGCTACACTCTTGGCAGTGTGGACCCAGAGGCCATCTTACCTTGGTGAAGGGCTGTTGGATCAAGTTTGACTCCAGAGCTTTTATTAAGATTATAAGTAAGAACTTATTTTGGTCAACATTGTTTTGTTACCATTGCCAGTTCTATACTCTACTCTAATTGTGCTTACTTATTATTGACACTTTGCAAACTGCTCAGTTTTTTAAAATGTTTTCTTTTAAAATATATATATTTTTATTGATTTTTTTATAGAAAGGAAGGGAGAAAGATAGCGAGAAACATCGATGAGAGAGAAACATTGATCAGCTGCCTCCTGCACAGCCCCACTGGGGATGTGCCCATAACCAATGCACGTGCACTTGACCAGAATCAAACCTCGGACCCTCCCAGTCTGTAGGCTGACGCTCTATCCGCTGAGCCAAACTGGTTTTGGCTAAATGTTTTTCTTTATTTTAGTCACGAAGGTGGGGAGAGAGACAGAGTGAAAGAGAGAGAGGAGAGAGAGAGAAACATTGATTGGTTGCTTCCTGTATGCAGGCCAAATGTTGGTTGAACCTAGAACCTGGGTTTTTTCTCTGACAGGAATTTAATCTAGCAATCCCTTAATGGGAAGGATGACGCTCAACCAACTGAGCCACACTATCCATGGCTAAACTACTCAATTCTAACTGTTATTATTTCTACTTAGGTTTCCAGCATTACCCATAAGCTTATGGATAATCTTTACCTCTCTAAACTTTGTACCTCAACAGCTTCCCATCTAGGTTCCTGTTTACTGCACTCCAATCTTGGTCCTTGCCTTTAGAGTTTGTTGTGTCACATACAGTATTAATCATATACATGCTCTGTAACACAATGGGTTTTAATATGCTTGAGCACACTCACATTGTTCTACATAGACTGCATCATCAGTTTGAATGGTTCTACAGAAAGCTGTTTGTAAAGGAACAACTAGTGGGCCCTGCACCTCTTGTTTCTGTCCCATCTTATGTTCATACCCCTTCCTTGGTAAGGTCTCTACCATTGACTGACCGTAGGAGTCAAATAATGTATATCAGCCATTTCATCAGGGTGTAACTCACCGGCCTTGAAAAATATCCCATACACTCATGCCTAGCTGTGACAGATACACATTTGAGATGAGGGTATTTCTTCCTTCTAAAGTCATCATGTATTTCACCTGCCTTTCCTTTTATTCAGGTTGCTGCTGTGGAGCAGAAAATGTAGAGGCACCTTTTGAAGAGAACATTTCTGTAAGAGTATCACAGGCAAGGAATCCCAAGTTAGCTTTGTCTTCCCAGAAGAGCCACCCTTGTGAGAGTTGTGGACTAGTTTTGAGAAACATTTTCCATGTGACTCATCAGCAGGAATTACTACACAGGCAGATTCTATTGAGGTGTGGAGCATGTGCAAAGCAATTTTATTTCAGTGCACCATTTCACCAGCAGCAGCACTTGAGAGAGAAGCCTTTGATAAGAGGTGTGAACTCGGTCTCACTTGAAGAGGGCTGCAATTTCAATGTGTTTCAGAAGCTTTTTAGCTGTGGAGAGGTGGGGCAGGACATCCTTAGCACAGCAGGACATCTCCAGCAAATGGCTACTCAGATCAGTGAGAAGCCAAATGGTATCTCGATGTGTGGGGTGACGTATCAAGAGGAAAATAATTGTTTTACTAATAAAGAATGTGATAAATCCATCGGCTCTAACTACATATGTGATTGGGACAAGGGTGTCCTTTCTGGAAAAGCTTATTTCAGTTGCCGTGAATGTGGAAAATATTTTTCTCGATTTTCTACTTTTTGTTATCATCAGAGATTTCATGCAGAAAAAAAGCTTTATAAGCACAGTGAATGTGGGAAATTCTTTATTACTAGTACTGGCCTCCTTTACCATCACACAGATGAAAGGCCTTATCAATGTATTGAATGTGGGAAATCTTTTACCAGCATCCATTACCTTTGTCGTCATCAGAAAATTCATAATGGAAAGAAGCTTTATAAGTACAGTGAAAGTGGGAAATCATTTATTCAGAACTATACCCTTCATTGCCATCAGAGAGTTCACACTGGAGAAAGGCCTTATGAGTGCAGTGATTGTGGGAAATCTTATACCCAGAGCAGTGGACTCAGTGCTCATCAAAGAGTTCACAGTGGAGAAAGGCCTTATGAGTGCAGTGAATGTGGAAAATCATTCAATGGGAAATATGTCCTTCGTCGTCATGAGAGAATTCACAGTGGTGAAGAACCTTTTGTGTGCAATGAATGTGGAAAATCTTTTATCTGTAGAAATGGCCTCCGTTACCATGAGATGAGAGTTCACACTGGAGAAAGGCTTTTTGAGTGCAATGAATGTGGAAAATCTTTTACCTCTAGAAGTGGCCTCCGTTACCATCAAATGAGAGTCCACACTGGAGAAAAGCCTTATAAGTGCAATGAATGTGGGCAGTCTTTTGTCAATAGTAATCGCTTACGTAATCATCAGAGATTGCACACTGGAGAAAAGCCTTATAAGTGCAATGAATGTGAGAAATCTTTTACCAGTATTGCTTATCTTAATTATCATCAGAGATTGCACACCGGAGAAAGGCCTTATAAGTGTGATGAATGTCAGAAATCTTTTGACACTACCTATCAACTTCGTTATCATCAGAGAGTTCACACTGGAGGAAACCCTTATGAGTGCCGTGAATGTGGGACATCATTTACTCAGAAATATGCCTTCCATTGTCATCAGAGAATTCACACTGGAGAACGTCCTTATAAGTGCAATGAATGTGGGAAATCATTTACTCGGAAAAATGTCCTTCGTTATCATGAGAGAATTCACACTGGTGAAAAGCCTTATGAGTGCAGTGAATGTGGAAAATCTTTTACCTGTGGAAGTAGCCTCCGTTTCCATCAGATGGGAGTTCACACTGGAGAAAGGCCTTATGAGTGCAATGAATGTGGGAAATCTTTTACCAGTAGTGATAGCTTCCGTCGTCATCAGAGAATTCACACTGGAGTAAGACCTTATAAGTGCAATGAATGTGGGAAATCTTTTATCAGTGGTAGTAGCTTGCGTCGTCATCAGAGAGTTCACACTGGAGAAAAGCCTTATGTATGTGGTGAGTGTGGGAAGTCTTTTACCACCAAATATTGCCTTGGTTCTCATCAGAAAATTCACACTAGAGAAAGGTCTAATGAGTGTAGTTAATATGGGAAATCTTTTAGCCAAACTTCTAACAGAGGAGTTCACATTGGAGTAAGGTCTTAGATATGCAGGAAATATAGATTTTTTTTCGACCATAACAGTACTATCAGAAATTCTATGAAATCCTGTTTCTCTGAACTGAATCTCATACACGGCAACATCAAGAGTAGGGAGATTCACAATAAATTTTGTGCTGTGAAAATCGTGTGTGTATATTGCCCTTATTAAAAGTTTTTATTTCAGAGGAAGTGGGTGAGAGATAGAAACAGGAATGAGGATAAAAAATCATTGATCAGTTTCCTCCTACTGGGAATTGAGCTTACAACCAGGACATGTGCCCTTGACCAGAACCGAACCCAGGACCCTTCAGCGCAAAGGCTGGCACTCTGTACACTGAGCAAACCAGATAGTGTTACTTCTTGATTTTTTTTTTATATATATATATATATATATATATATATATATATATATATATATATATATAAATAAAATTGATTTTTTACAGAGAGGAAAGGAGAGAGATAGAGAGCCAGAAACGTTGGTGAGAGAGAAACATCGACCAATCGCCTCCTGTACACCCCCCACCAGAGATGTGCCCGCAACCAATGTACATGCCCTTGACCAGAATTGAACCTGAGACCCTTCAGTCCGCAGACCAATGCTCTACCATTGAGCCAAACCGGTTTCGGCTACTTCTTGATTTTGTTTGCTGTTTTTTTCTTCAGATCTTCCCTGTTCACCATTACAGTGTCTCTGCCTGTGTTATCACTTGGTACAAAATTCCACTTTCCAGAGCTTTCCGGAAAGACAGAACTTTGAATTCATTGCTTCTTTCTTTGTGGTGTTTTTTATGGGAGTTTTATGAAAATAGTGATTTTCCTCCTTAGCCTCCAACCCACTTGGGCTTTTTCACATGATAACCTGCTTTTCACAGGGCATTTATATCATTCTTTGCTCCTTTCCCTCCAGGGTTCTTCACTTTCTTCTCATCACTCTTTAACATTTTCCATATTCCCATGAGGTGACCTGTTTCTGTTCTGGGAAATTGATTCCCAAATTGACTTCTCAATATTGTCTAATGGAGTGTTTGCCAGCCCGTGCTCTGTGGGCCACTGCTGGTCCATGAGTTCTGAAAGGTTGGCAACTGCTGGTTTAAGAAAACTTTTGGAGCAGCAGTCCAACCAGAAGTACAAAAGTTTGTCGACCACTGGTCTAATGCACACTGTCTTTTTCTTTAAAAAAATATATATATATTTTATTGATTTTACAGAGAGGAAGAGGGAGAGGGATAAAGAGAGGAAGAGAGAGAGGGATAAATGAGAGAGAAACATCAATTAGCTGCCTCTTGCACACCCCCAACTGGGGATGTGCCCACAACCCAGGTACATGCCCTTGACCAGAATCAAACCCAGGACCCTTCAGTCTACAGGCCGACGTTCTATCCACTGAGCAAAACCAGTTTCGGCCTAATGCACACTTTCTTTCTATGTATTTTATTCATGGTCATGGCAGTTGGCCTCTGGCTTCTCATTTTGTGTATGAGAGCAGGAATCGTCTTTTTAAGTTATAGTTTATCTTTCTCCACGAGATGTTTTAAGTGCTATTCAGCCTAGCATTCCCATATACTGAGCTTTCTTCTTAAAGATGTCTGCTGTTTTATTAAATGGATGAGAAATTTTTTTTGGCATTATGAGACGTTACTGAAAACAGAAAACTGGGCGAACCAAATATTACGAACAGGAATGTAGTCTCATAGCAAAACAAAACCAAAAAGGAGGAAAAAAAAAAAAAGCAAAAGGGTGGGGAGGAAAGGTGGAAGTCTGAAGAACGGAGGGGGCGGGGCAGAAAGCAAGGAAAGGGCCCTATTTGGTTTGGCTCAGTGGATAGAACGTCAGCCTGTGGACTATAGGGTCCGAGGTTCGATTCCGGCAAAGGTCATATGCCGGGGTTGCGGGCTTGATGCCCCCCCAGTAGAAGTTGAGCAGGAAGCAGCCAATCAGTCTCATCATTGAAAAATATATTTTAAAAAAAAAAAAAGCAAGAAAAGGGAGTAGTTTTCTTCCTATTTCTTTAAACACGCACACGCACACAACCAACGTTTGTTCCCGAGTAGAAACATAAATAGGGCAGAATCGAACACTCTTCTCTCTTCCAAATGCAAAAAAAGTAATAAAAGGCAACTCAGGAGTTCAGGCTGTGCCCCCTTGGAACCCTCTTCAACAGAGGTGTGTACAGAGGGGCAGCCGGGCGCGCAGGTTTCCGCAGAGGTTAGGCAGCCCGAAAGGAGGGCAGGAGGGGGTCATGCGCTGCCCCCCACCCCCGCAGCAGGGGTTCCAGCTTGTCCACTGTAAGGCGCCCTTTCCTCGCCCTCGCCAGGTCCCAGCCACCCACACTCGCCTCTCGCGCGAACTCGCCTCTCGCGGGAGGGGGGCCGCGCATGCGCCCCGCGCGCGGGCTCAGTACGCGGATACCCGTACTGAGACGGGGACGCCGGCTCCGTGTTCCGGCACTCGTGCGTCTTCACTTCCTCGAGGCGCGAGATGCGCTCCAGCTTGCGCTTTCCACCCTTCGAGGCAGCGATGTGGTTGCGTAGCCGCTGGCGCTCCGCTGTGCTGCGCTCTGGAGCGTCCATGTCGATGGGCGTCAGCAGCTTCTCTCGCCGAAGCTGGCGCGTCGGGCGCGGTCTGAGGCTCGTCCTTGAGCGCGGCCCCTGCGCTCCTGGCGCCAGGTACCCGCGTAGCCGCCTTAGACCGACGGCCATGCCCGAGGGTCCCCCGCGCCCGCACCCCGCTGGCTCTGCTCATGGAAGTCCTCCAGCGCGAGTTCCTGCTCCGCGGCCGCCACCTCGGAAGAGAGGAATGGGTGCTCCCGTGCGTGGTGGTGACCAGCCCGGTGGACTGGCTGAGGAGGCGTTGGAGTCCTGGCGAGGCGAGCTTGAGCAGCCCCAGGCCCGGCGAGGCCAGCAGGCCGCGGGAGACCCGCGGCCACCTGCTCGCTCGGGCTCAGCGTCCCCCCCTCCCCTCTGCTTAGCCCTGAGCCCGCCCAGGCAGCAGTGGTGACTCCTGAGAAAATGTGTGTGTGTGTGTGTGTGTGTATTTTTTTAAAATATATTTTATTGATTTTTTTTTTACAGAGAGGAAGGGAGGATTAGAGATCCAGAAACATCAATGAGAGAGAAACATCGATGAGAGAAAAACATTGATGAGAGAGAAACATGGATCAGTTGCGCGCGCCCCCCCCCCCCCCCACACACACACAGGGGATGTGCCTGCAACCAATATACATGCCCTTGCCCAGAATCGAACCTGGGACCTTTAAGTCCGCAGACCGACACTCTATCCACTAAGCCAAACTGGTTTCGGCAATTGTATTTATTTTTTAAATATGTTTTTATTTATTTCAGAGCGGAATGGAGAGGGAGAGAGAAAATCATGGATCAGCTGCCTCCTGCACTCTCCCTACTGGGGATGTGTCTGCAACCAAGGTAAATGAACTTGACTGGAATCGAACCTGGGACCCTTCAGTCCGCAGCCGATGCTCTATCCACAGAGCCAAACAGTTAGGGCAGATTCTATGCAAGATTTTGAGTTTATGAGGAAGACTGATATTTTTCAGAGTGCAAAATGATCTTGGAATACAAAAAATTTCTTTAAATAGAATTTCATGGAAGTTTGTCACTGACCCATATTCCTGAATTATGTAACATGGAAAACTGACCTAAGAAATAGTTTATTTTGTAAGCAAACCATTAAGAAATACTGTGGCCCTAGCTGGTCTGGCTCAGTGGATAGAGCGTAAGCCTGCAGACTTCGGTGTTCTGGGTTCGATTCAGGTCAAGGCCACATGTCTGGATTGTGGTCTTGATCCCCATTGGGAGAAGTGCAGGAGGCAGCCAATCAATGATTATCTCATCATTTTTGTGTCTATCTTCCTCTCCCTTCCTCTCTGAAATCAATAAAGATAGTTAAAAAATATAGTGTGGACTGGTGGGACGGGGGAATAAGCAAAAAGAAAAAGAAAACACTACTTTGGGCATGGCCTTGGGTTTTCTAGAAAACCCAAGGCCATGCCTAAGAGAAAAGAGAGGAATGGGAGATAGGAGAGAGGTTTTTTTAATAATATATTTTATTGATTTTTTTTTTTTTTACAGGGAGGAAGGGAGAGGGATAGAGAGCTAGAAACATCGATTGATTGCCTTCTGTTTGATTCCTGACCAGGTGTCAAACACGCAACACAGGTATGTGCCTGAGCAGAAATTGAGCCCTGCACAGGACAATGTTCAACCAACTGAGCTATTCTGGCTGGCGGGAAATAATGGTTTTAATAGAGCTTTAAATTTTAAGGTCTTTGACTTTTCCTAAAGGTCAGTGGGCAGAGGTTAAAGTCCAATTTACTAATCAATTGGTCTCTCTGCTGACTAAATCCATCCTGAGGCTTATAGGAACCTGTGCTAAATCACCTTATGAGCATAAACTGCACTGTTATAAAACTATGTTTACTATAGCAAAGGGTGCTCCTATCTTAAGAAATTATAGAGTTTGCCGAAGCCTGTTTGGCTCAGTGGTGGAGCGTCGGTCTGAGGACTGGGGGGTCCCAGGTTCGATTCCGGTCAGGGTCATGTGCGTTGGTTGCGGGCGCGTTCCCAGTGGGGGATGTGCAGGAGGCGGCTGGTTGATGTTTCTCTCTCATCAACGTTTCTGGCTCTCTATCTCTCTCCCTTCCTCTCTGTGGAGAGATCAATAAAATATATTTTTAAAAAAAGAAATTATAGAGTTTTACAAGCTTATTGTCAAGTACTATAGACAAAGACCAAATTTATTTCTTATTCTAAAACTCTTAGGCTTGTCTGTAAATAGTTACTTCATATGAAGACATTCTGTAAAAAGTTTTATTTCAAACTAAGTTTATGAGAGGTTACAGAATGATTCACTTTTCTGTCTCATAGTAGGTACAGTTGGTGATTCTTGCAGTATCCCTTGCAAAGTCAAAGCATTCCGAGTCTAGAAAGATGCTGTGAAAATAGTATGTTTGCAGACATTGTTAATCAGAGCAAAGGGTAATTTCCTATTAAAGCAAAATTACACTGTGTTTGAGGTACACGAAAAACTTCCAATATCAAAGTTAAGTTTTGAAAACCAAAAGAGAAACTGTAACCTAAAGAACTTTGTTGAGTTGAAAGGAGAGGAGACACCCATCCTGCAT